TCGATAAAATGTCCGTGGTGAAAGTTTACTGTAAGAGTAAACTTTCACCACGGACATTTTATCGACCCGACTAACTGCCCCTGGGTCTCCGAGGATGCTGTGTGAACATCTGTGTCAGCTGTGATCTCTCAAGATCATGCGCAGTTGGATAATTTTTCGCACCCTTCACAGTGATCGCTTTGTGGGTGAAAAAGGCGTTTATTTTCCTTATCATTTAACTGATTTAAACTTGTGCATTATCATGGTCTTGATCGAAGATTCATCGTGGGAACCAATCAAAGAGACTGAAAAGCAACAGTTTTGCATGGAAATGATGAAACGTCTTGATATTCAAAGAAAGAACGAGCAGTTCTGCGATGTTGTTTTGGAGGTGTGCAACGGCGAGGATCAAGCTCGCGTCAACGCTCACAGGATCGTATTATGTGCAGCAAGCCCATTTTTCTATAGTGCTCTTAACAGCGATATGAAAGAAAACAAAGAAGGAGTTATTAGATTAGAAGATACGAGCAAAGTTACGATCGAGGAATTATTAGATTATCTTTACACCGGACACGTGGATGTCACGCAATACAACGCGTTCGAGTTGTTCAAGATAGCTGATTTCTTATTGATTCCCAGTTTGAAAGAGGTTTCAAGCAGGTTCATCATACAGACATTGTCTTATTCAAACTGTTTAATGGTATTTTATTTGGCTGTGAATTATTGGTGCATTGAATTACAGGAAAAAGCGAGAGATTTTATCCTTGCAAATTTCGCCAGCGTTGTCGAACATGAAGACTTTCTGAACTTAACCCTCACCGAGGTGGAAAAGTGGATTTCAAGCGATGAAATTAGTGTAAGAGGAGAACAGGACGTTTTTCAGGCAATTGTGAAGTGGATGGAAAATAAGGGGAGTGGAGAAGGAGAAAAATTTTTTGAATTATTTCGTCATGTTCGTCTTATTTACTTGTCACGCAACTATGTTTTCAATGAAATTCTTCCGCATCCTTTGGTAACCAACGACAATGAATGTACAGCTTTTGTCTTAGATACAGTTAAAGATGTCTCTTCTGGCTCTGAAGAGTGCTTTTTTGCCCAAGCACCAAGAAACTGTCTTAAAACAACAGAAGATTGCCTTGTTATTGCTGGGGTAGGTAAAAGAACACTTTGCTACCTTCCTGCTGAAAATAAGTGGTATGATATGGCACGGAAAACGAAGAGCAAAAAACATTATTATGTGAGTGCTTCTCATGGTAAACTTTATACCAGAACCAGCCCTGATCAACAAATGGAGCGATTTGATCCAGTCATAAACTCATGGGCACCTCTGATATGTTATACTAGTGTGATGTCACACCGTGTGGCGGCAGTGGTCAATTTCCAAGGGTTTTTGTATGTGATTGGTGGAGAAGAAGATGAAGAGGCTGTAAGCTCTGTACATAAGTACAATCCTGGTACAAACCTATGGCAGGAAGTAGCACCAATGAATGTTTCCAGAGCTGCAGTGTGTGCTGTAGCTGACAAGGAGACCATGTATGCAATTGGAGGTTTTGCAAACAATGAACCACTGGATGTAGCAGAAAGATTTGATGCCAAAATGAACTCATGGTGTAGAATTGCTTCAACTCTCGAGAAGAAAACACTCCCTTTTGGTGCAATTTTAAATGCTAGAGTGTTTTTATTTGGAGGTGTAACTCTTCCTCAGTCCTCAGATTTTTTACATGTATCTTCAAGCATTGAAATGTATGACCCAACTTCAAACATGTGGACAGCGATTCAGAATACATCTCTGCCAACACGTTTTTTTAGTGTGACAAGTTTCAAAGGAAATGTTTATGTTATTGGAAAGTGGAACCAAGAAAGTTCCCATGACTATTTCTTGCGGATTTATGATGTTGAAAAAAATGAGTGGAAGCACTGTTCAAGTGTTCCTCGTATCTCAAGTCCAATTGCTTTGGCTCCTCTGAGAATTCCAAGAGACATTTTAAAGAAATGTAAGGTTGTAACATAGGCCAGTTTTTAAATATCAAGGTGTGGTGAAAAACTGTGTCAAGGAAAAAAATCTTCATCTTAGTCCTAATCACCACAGTTTCGCAAAAGTAAAGTTTGCATGAAATTTGATGAAGTTGATGATGTTGAGGGGGCCATGTCATGAGGGTATTGCTGTCTTGGGTCAATTCTGTGTTGAAGTCATCACTTTGTACCTTTGCCAACATACAAAATGTTCCTGCAGAGTTACAAGAAAGATATCAAGCAAATTTCATCAGGGAGTACAAAGCATATAATTAATTTTGTTGGTGATTTTTGCAGGCATTCCAAAAAAAAAATTGAAAAACATTGGCCCAATATTTTCAAGTTTCAATCCACCTCCATCCTTGCCATCTATTTTAACAGGCGACACAAAGTTTTAATGCCATAATACAGTCTTAAATAACAAAACTGGACCAATATTTTTAGAATTTAATGCCAAGACATTTTTTAGCTTTTTAAAAAGAAAGCAAATAGCATGACTTAGCTCCTTAAGTATACTCCAGTTTAATTGTTCCTTTTATTATTTTAGTGGGGAAATGTTTTGACCTTTTGTTACTATGTATTCTGAATCCATTTGTTTCTTCTCTGAAGACCATTCTTAAGAAGGCAGAGAGGGCAGAGTATAAAAATATAAATCCAACGGGCTTGTTGGAAATACAAGGTAGGGGTACACTGGGAAAAGTTTTGCTCTCGGGATCTCTGAGTTAAGGAGTTTTAAAAAACTAACACAGAGAATGCCCTTTTCAGTGGAAACCTATTCTAGAGAGTTGGCACACCATCTATGGGGGGCTGAGTAAATACAATGATCTAACAAGCAGGTTGAAAGTATGTGCCAAGGAGAGAGTACCATATTTCCTTGAACAATAGCCGTCCCTTGATTTATCGCCTCCCTTGAAGTATTGGCTCCCCTACCCTTTTCCTCACCCCATTTGCAGGGTTACCCATAGCAGTAAATCTGAAGGATGAAGCTGAAGCAAAACTGATGGGTGATGATTCAACCTCTGACGCTTTGGATATTGACATTGAAACTTAATCAAGGGACTAAATGTGGATTAAAATAGTCCATGTTTAGTTTATTTGATGCAATTATTTCTTTATTATAAGGGATGACAAAACAAAATATTTATGGCACGACTTCCAGTGAGCAATTTTGAAATAATCGCTTCCCTTAAATAATCTTCTTACCTTGTAGCTATTTGCAGGACATGAAGTATTGTAAACTTTATATTTCTTTAAATAAATACATTGTTGTTGTTGTTGTTGTTGTTGTTGTTGTAATAATCGCCCCCTTTTGTTGCGAAAAAAAAAAAGATTGCCCCAGCTATTGCTCGAGGAAATACAGTAATTAACCCTTCAAACCCTGACATCAAAATTTAGAGTCTCAGTTGCTGTCCCTATAGTTTCTTATGAAAGGAGTGGGGAGAATTTGTTGAAGTAGATTCTTCTTGTTTTATCATGTCCTTAATTCTCGTCATTTTGTATAGCATTGATATTACATGAAGAAATTTGATGCTGGTCTCTCTTAGGGCCTAAAGGGTTGAAATTCAGGCAGATTGATGAGTTACAAAATCAAACAAATTAAGAGCAGAGACCATTGCCTTTCAACTTAACAGTTTTATAAGCATAAAAAAACAACTGTGCCTTAGGCAATAACATCTCTCATAAAACTTCTTTATAGTTATTACAGTTAATAATATTATCTAGTTAATAACCATATTCATATGTACAAACAATATATTGTTACAAAATAACTTCTGCTCTTCATAATGTTCTTGATACTAATATCTCTGCATACTTAAGTAGTGTAATAGTAGACCCCAGAAGTCTCTAATGTTGTTGGATCTTACATGTGATTGTAAATTAGGGAGCTTAAGAAGAGATGGTTTTGAGCGATGTGCCTCAACTGGAAGTGGACTTTTTGCATTCTTTGGCAGTGGTTTTGCCCACATTCTTGAGCAAATCGTCTCTTTAAGAGTAAAGGAACCTCCTACCAATACAAGTTTAGTAGTACCAAGGCATATTAAAAGGGAAAAGTCCTCTCTTTTGATTGACGTGTGTCGCTCAAAAATGTCTTTGCTTAAGCTTCCTTTTATCGGAAATCGTCTCCTGCAAGGTTCCTGTAAGTCTAAAATGAGGCAATGACAAGGCTGACATAACAGACAAGGGTTCTTTAACAACTTTATACAAAAAGTTTAAATAGAAGGTGTTTTTCTATTTTTTAAATAAAATTTAGTCAAAGCGAACCTCGAGTTGTCTTATTTCCTCCTTGTAGTATACAAAACAACAGCTTACTCCACGTCTTGACCGGTCAAGGGTAGTCTCCAACCACCCTGCATCCAGAACCTTTCTTTCGCTTGCTCGATTTTGACGTACAAAAGGATTGAATGGTTGCTAAGCAACACTTTACCAGGCTACTAGGTGCTCCCATTCTGACCAGTCAAAACCACACTTGGAAATGTTCGGAATCCTATTTAAAGCCAGTGCTATTCCAAAATAGCCCAATCATCAGGCTTTGATTCATGATAAGAAAAACACTTAAGGCTTAAAAATAACTAATTTGGGCGAGCGAAGCGAGCCGCACGAGAACGCGGGAGCTAGCGGCGAAGCCGCGAGGGGCCGCTCCCCTCTTCAAGAGACTTCCAGAGAGCGGCTGTGTGAACAGCTGTGTCAGCTGTGATCTCTCAAGATCATGCGCAGTTGGATAATTTTTCGCACCCTTCACAGAGATCGCAAGGCGTTTACTTTCCTTATCATTAAAACTGATTTAAACTTGTACATTATCATGGTCTTGATCGGAGACTCATCGTGGGAACCAATCAAAGAGACTGACAAGCAACAGTTTTGCGTGGAAATGATGAAACGTCTTGATATTCAAAGAAAGAACGAGCAGTTCTGCGATGTTGTTTTGGAGGTGAGCAACGACGAGGATCAAGCTCGCTTCAACGCTCACAGGATCGTATTATGTGCAGCAAGCCCATTTTTCTACAGTGCTCTTAACAATGACGTGAAAGAAAGCAAAGAAGGACTTATTAGATTAGAGGATACGAGCAAAGTTGCGATCGAGGAATTGTTAGACTATCTTTACACCGGACACGTGGATGTCTCGCAACATAACGCATTCGACTTGTTAAAGATAGCTGATTTTTTGGTGATTCCCAGTTTGAAAGAGGTTTTAAGCAAGTTCATAATACAGACATTGTCTTCTTCAAACTGTCTTATGGCATATTATTCGGCTGTAAATTATCGGTGCTTTGAATTACAAGAGAATGCAAGAGAGTTCATCTATGCAAATTTCACTCGCGTTGTCGAACACGAAGATTTTCTTAACTTAACCATCAGCGAGGTGGAAGAGTGGATTTCAAGCGATGAAATCAGAGTGAGAGGCGAAGAAGACGTTTTCCAGGCAATTGTGAAGTGGGCGAAACAAAACGGGGACGGAGAACGTGAGAAATTTTTTGAATTATTTCGTCATGTTCGGCTTATTTACTTGTCACGCAACTATGTTTTCAATGAAATTTTCCCGCATCCTCTTGTAACCAACGACAAAGCATGTACAGCTTTTGTCTTAGATACAGTGAAAGATGTTTCTTCTGGCTCTGAAGAGTGCTTTTTTGCCCAAGCACCAAGAAACTGCCTGAAGACAACAGAAAATGGCCTTATTGCCTCTGGAGAAAAGAAAACCCTTTGTTATGTTCCCTCTGAAAACAAGTGGTATCAGATGGCAGGCAAAACCAAGAGTAAAAATATGTGTTGTGCGAGTGCTTTATATCATGGTAAACTTTACATCAGCAATGGACCTGGTGTTGATTATGCTATCAAGCGATTTGATCCAGCTGTAAACTCATGGGCACCTCTGACATCGTATAGTGGTCAAATGTCACACTTCTATGCAGCCGTTGTTTATTTCCAAGGGTCTTTGTATGTGATTGGTGGAGAAAAAAGGGGTGAGGAAGCAAACTGTGTACATAAGTACAATGCTGATACAAACCTTTGGCAGGAAGTGGCACCAATGAATGTTTCCAGATCTTTACTGTGTGCTGTAGCTGACAAAGACACTATGTATGCAATTGGAGGTGTGGTAGACAATCAAATGTTGGATGTAGTAGAAAGATTTGACTCCAAAATGAACTCTTGGTGTAGAGTTGCTTCAATGCTGGAGAAGAAATTTCTCCCCTGTGTTGCAATTTTAAATGCTAGAGTGTTTCTGTTTGGAGGTTTTACTAGTATTATTCCCCTACATGTATGTTCAAGGATTGAAATGTATGACCCAACTTCAAACATGTGGACAGCCATTCAGTGTATACCTGCTCCAACACGCTTTTTGAGTGTGACAAGTTTTAAAGGAAGTGTTTATGTTATTGGAAATGAGACCTAGGAAAGTCCTGGTAGTTTTTCTTTGTGGATATATGTGACCCTTCATGCGAAAAGGGGGCTTATGGATTTCACTAAAAACCGTGAATTTTTTTCACGGTCACAGTGCGTGAATTAGAGTTTTCACGGCGTGAATTTCAAATTCCACGCCCGTTCACTCCTTGCGAGAATTTTTCACTCTTGGCGTGAAACTGATCATGTTGGTGACTTTTGGCTCTTTTTCTTCTCCTCAACGTGCAAATTATCCCAATGTCGACGATTAGTTATTTACCAAACATGGCAAGGTTTTCACTCAAGAAACCTAACGAAATTCTTTGCGTAAAGACTAACTGTTACTGCCATTCCTAAAACCGGGATAATTGTCGTCTGTGTCGATGCGCATTGCAGTGAAGTGACTGATCTTATCTGCAGTTTTGTAGCCCCATCATCATCCATCACAAGGGCAAACTCTACTTGATTTATCATGCTTCACTTCAAGTTCCTTGTAACATTGCTAAATGTTATACTCAAAATTTCGCCGTTACAACGACTTGAACAGAAGGGTAAAAATGAAATAAATCCAAAAGGTATCACGCAATATCAAAACATGCGTTACATATTTCTTCATCTTGTCGCCACCGAGCCTAGCATTTGCATAACTTCGTGGAAGAGATAAAAGCTTCCAAATTCTTTTAAATTTTAAACGATACTTTGGTTGTAAATTTAGAGAATACAAAGACGGAATCATGCAGTTGTTGATTATATTCAGCGATCTTCGGTGTCTTTTTTTAGCGATTTCATCTGGGCAAATAAAGGCTTGCATGACATCTAAACAATACACTTTTGAAAACAATGTTACATTAATTTTCAGTTTGACTGTTGGAAGATTTTCACGGCGTGAAATTAAATTTCACGGTGACTGAAATTTTTCACGGCATAAAACATTTTCACGGCCATTATAAACTTTTTCACCGCGTGAAATTTTCACGGTAGCCGTGAATTTTTCACGGCGTGTTCACGGCGTGAAAGAGAAATTTCACTCACATTCCAAAAAGTTTTCTTACTTTCACGGCCTGGATCGTGAAAATAGGCATAGCGTGAAATTTAGATAAGCCCCCAAGTCGCGTGAAGGGTCACATA